ATTTTTAGAACCCAATAATTTGTAAGTACAGGGTACTGCATGTAAACATGTTGGAACTGTTAAGTAAAGTGTGCCACATAGACTCCTGAGTGGAAATCTAGAAATTATTCTCTGACAGACTTAGTCTCAATTTTTCAGTGAAACTTGTAGAAAAACATTTCCATTCCCTCCCCGCAGACTTGAATGCTTGTTTTCTCTTCTTACTTGCCCTCCTCATGCCACATTTACTTCTTAGCCTGGGAAGCTAGGAATCCAGAGACTTAACACCTCTGCTGTTTCTTCTGCTCCTGGGTTCTCCAGGGCTGTCACCTGCTGTGCCTTCTGCCTGTTCCTAACTCCAAAGGTGCACCAGGCTCATTACCCACACCTTAGTACCCCCTTGTATTACTCTACTGTCTTGACTGCTGGTGGCTAGGAACCCATTAGCAGGAATCCAGTCGGCAAACTCTGAGAGCAGCTTATTTTACTTTCAGGAAGGCTTATTTGCTGGAAAGAGTCCTGGTGGTGCAGTGGTTAAAACGCTCAGCTGCTGGAGGCTTGGCAGTTCAAACCCACCAACTGGTACTCGGGAGAAAGATGAGGCAGTTTGCTTCTCTAAAGATTTAAAAGATTTTAGATTTAGATTTTAGATTCTCTAAAGCCTTGGAAACCCTATGGGCCTATTCTACTCTGTCCTACAGGGTTGCTATGAGTTGGAATTTAACTTGATGGCAGTGGGTTTTGGGTACTTCCTGGAGAGCAGTTTCTTTCTTTTTAATATTTCTTATGTGACAATGGCACAAGGAAAAAGAAGGCTGAATCCATTCTTTGAATCAGTTGGGAAAGCAAACTGGAGGGTTTGTGGGAAAGCAGTCAGTTTTTGGTGTCTTTTGGTGTAGAGGTGGAGAAGAAGCGCGAGGCTAAGCAGCGAGCTAAGGAAGCTCAGGAGCGCGAACTGCGGAAGCGGGAGAAGGCAGAAGAGAAGGAGCGTCGGAGAAAGGAGTATGACGCCCTCAAAGCCTCCAAGCGGGAGCAGGAGAAGAAACCTAAGAAGGAAACAAATCAGGCCCCAAGTAAGTTTTCTGATCCAAGGTTCCAGTAGGGGTATAGTCAAGAGACTTATGCTTTCAGGGGTACATGAGTGTGTGAGCTTGCAAACCTTAGACAAAATAGACTTTTAAAACTTAGAAATAGCATGGGAGGGTTTGAAGGAGACCAGGCCCTGGGAGTTTGGTCACTGGAGTTGGGGACTCCTAGGACGCAAGTGTCTGGCTGGTATGTTCCCCAACACCACCACATACTGGTACACAGGTGTTTTGGTCAAATGGGCTCAGAGCACTTCCGTAACGGTGTCACAGTGTTTTGGGGGGTAGGTTGTAAAGTCACTGAGAAAGGCAAAGTTCCTACAAGGTCACATTACCCTTACCTCCCCTCACGTCATCTGTGGAGAGTATATTGTGTGGTTAGAGTCTATGGGACAGTCTCTCAGTAAGTCTAGCACTTCCTGTGTTTTTTTCTGAGAACATCTCTCTCTGCTTGAACACCAGAGAAATCATTTGGCTGTGTTTAGAGAACAATATTATATAAAAAAATGCATGTTAGTTTATGCCCAGTTATGATCATGTCCATTTGGATTTGCTTAAATCAGGTGCATGGAGAGATGTGGCTCCATGTGTAAGGGAAGATGTGTACCCTCTGGGACCACTCAGGAGAGACACCTGAGAGGGAAGGAGGTCTACACTGATGGTGGAGGTCTGTGTCCCTGGCCTTACTCACCCTTACCTTGACCTAGTTGCCTAACTATATACCCCTTTTGTTTCCTTGTGTAAACTGATGGCGGTAGGTATGTCCACTTAGTAGTAAAGATTATATGAAATAATCTTCTGTGATGGGACTATGCATTTGGCATTGTGGGCACTCAGTCAAGCTTGTAAAAATTTTGCCTGAAAGTCTCAAAACCAGTTTTTTCTAAATTTAAGTGTATAGTCAGCCCTCCATATATACTGGGTTTGCATTCCAGGATTCAAAATATTTTTTATTTTAATAAAAGCAATTCCTCAAAGGCTAAGGGGAATGTAAAATGCTATTTACATAGCATTTACTTTGTATTGGGTATTATAAGTAATCTAGAAATGATTTAAAGTATGTATATAGGTTATATGCAAATATGCCACCATTTTATATAAGGCACTTGAGCATCAGCAGATTATTTTATCTGCAAGTGGAACCAATCCCCCTCAGATGCTGAGGAACAACTATAATATATGTTGATCGCAGAGAATTTTGAGAAGTTAGATACGAAATTTTATACATCTTAGAAAATAGCAATGACCTATAATCCCAGCCGTCATCACCTTCTTTTACAGGCATATTATAGAATAATGACATTCACAATAGTACCAGTAAATCTCACACCAATTTCCCCACATTGGCAGCCTAATGCCTCCTGACAGGTCCCTCCCCTTTGCCTCGGGAGGCCTAGATCATCATCGCTACAGAGGACTCCAGCCCTTGGGACTAGGTGAGCTTCATGAGCCACTCAGGGAGTTCCAGTTTAGAGTGTACTCCCTCTTGAGATGTAAGGGAGAAGGCGTTTATGTTTCAGCCTCTGGATAGCAACGTTTTTTTTTAAGAATCGAGATACTCTTGAAACAGTTTACTCTTTCAGAGAGGGCCTGGGAGTTCTGTTTGAGAAGAGAGGTGTAAGTGGATCTACACATAGACTTAGCATAGGTGGGTAGGATGTGGAGCTCCTCAAACTGACTGACCCTTTTGTGTCTCTGACCTTGTCCCTCCAGAATCAAAGTCTGGCTCTCGCCCCCGCAAGCCACCACCCCGGAAACACACTCGGTCCTGGGCAGTGCTGAAGCTGCTGCTGCTACTGCTGCTGTTCTGTGTGGCAGGTGGCCTGGTGGCCTGTCGGGTCACAGAGCTGCAGCAACAGCCTGTCTGCACCAGTGTGAACGCCATCTATGACAATGCTCTCCAGGGCCTGCGCAGCCATGAGATCCTTCAGTGGGTCCTCCAGACCGATTCTCAGCAGTGAGCTTGTCCTCGACACCTGCTGCCTCCCCAGCCTTGGAGCTTGGATTCCTATGGAATTGGGTTCTGCTGGACACAACCTCTTTTTAGCGTCAGACCTACCTGCCCTCATCAAATGGCTGCCGATTGGTACCTGAGACCTCCTCTTTGTAGGACTTCTTTGTTCCTTAGTCAGGGTTTCCTGTTGGAATAAAGAAAAATGGGAGGTGGGGGGGAGTTACCTGCATGACTAAAGGAATAGGCTTTGGGGTGGGGAGAGGAAAAACATAGCCTTTTCTAGTCGTTATACAGAGCCATGTAAGGGGCAAGGTTCGTTTCTACTAAATGGTCAGCTGTCACTACATTTATACTTTGGTATGTTACACACCCTTCTTTCACCCCTCCCTGAGTAGCCCAATCAGATCAGGAAGCAGTGTGTTACTGGGGACCAGGGAGAACACCACCCAAGAGCAAATGTGGCCTAAATTAGGGAAGGGTGTAGCTATTAAGGACCTCAGACATTCCTTAGACATTTAGTGACCTCACAAAATCCCAGGCTGTGAAAAGGAGTTGAAGACCATCTAATCCAAAGTGACACTTCATTTTCATTTCAGGCAGGGAAAATGACTTGCCTGCAGTCTCACAGCTAGTTTAAGGCAGAACTGGTTTCCCAGTCTAGTACCTTTTCTTTCCATCATTTTTGCTTCCTTCATAATGTCCTAAGAGAACAGAATTCATCCTTCATGGTACAGATCTGTGACTCTCAAATAGAAATCTCATAGCTATGAGGGTCTCGGGCAGCTCCTGTGGAGTCTTGCCCCACCTTCTGTGGCTTCCATAAAATGAGACAGTCCAGGCTCCTTGCCTCAGTTTTAGAGCATTAACTCCCTGATTGCCACTAAGCAAGGAGGCAGGTCCTTGCAGAGGCACATGGTCGGACGTCTCTATTAGTAGTTGGTGTGACTAAATACCTCAGAGGCAGCCTGGAAACTGCTTCACAGGGACTGAGATTTAGAGTTGTTTGATTCTAGATCTATAACTACACCTACTTTGAAGGGAAACAGGTGATGTCATGGAGCTTAAGAGGGGCAGTACTGTAAGAACTAGCACAAAGAGCCAGACTGACCAGTCTCTCAGCCAGATCAAGTGTTTTCTTACTCTTTGACCTCCTTTGCCTCATCTTTCTCACAACAGCTGGGTGAAGGGAACAGAAATGACCATGTCATGGTGCTTATTCACTGAAAGTTCCTGACTGCAAACTACTTACCTCTCCCAGAGAGCAAGACCCTGTCACGGTTCAGAGGCAGAGAGGACAGGGTCCAGCTTCTTAACCCTAGTGGCCCATTTGGACAGGACTCTTCTGATTCTAGAAGAATTGACTTTGTTCTTTTCTCCCCCAAGGATTGCTTTGCTTCGTAGGTCCACACCTTATCAGAATCACTACACGTTCCTTTAGTCTTCCTCCAAGCTCCAGAGCCATTGGTACAAATGCTTTATTGAAACTAAAATACATGATTAAGATAATACAGAAGTCAGCATAGTGATCATACCCCTGCTCCTTCGCTGGTTGAGGCAGCTCAGTGGGTGAGAGGAGGGCTGTGGTACACCCAGCCTAGTCAAGCCGACCCACAGACATCAGTTCACAACTTCTAGATTTGATGCTGAGGTTCTTTTGGATTTCTACAATTAAATACATGTCAGAGTGGTCTGTCTGTGTTCCTTTGTGTGTGTTCTAAGGGCTGGGCAGTGCATGGGTAGAAGTGATCTGTCATGGCAGCTGACTTTTGCTGGGAGAGGAACATGAAATGCTGGTGGGGGTAAATGCAAACATCCAGTCAGTCCCAAGCTGACATACTTCAAGCGATTACACCCAGGGAAGAGTGCTGTGGGCCCGAGCTAGGCTCACTCCAGGAGGTGCCCCCAGTCTGCATCGTAGCATGTAGTTCTGGGTGGATAAGGTGGGAATCTCCAGCTTTTCCCCTTGTCCCTGAGGGCTACCATCAGTCTACACTGTCTAAAGAGAGATTTGGTTGCAAAGTTGTCATCTGGAGGTAGATACGTCTAGATAACTCTGGTCCAACTCGGCGGGAGGTGGATGTCACTCCCACCCCACGGCGAACCTGTATATTTGCAAGCAAATTCTGGCGTTCTTGCTCTGAAAAACACCGTCGATAAGCCTGGAAGAAGTAAATGACCTTAGTGCCACACCATCTGTAGTCGTAATCCATTAGCAGGGAAGGCAGTAAGCTGAGGTTAGAGAATGAGAACCTGCCCTCCCCCCCAGGGTCAGCACTAACAACTCTTGGCCTTAGCAGATCCACCATTGCTGCCTGACAAGGCATTCTTGGGCCCTCAACAACGCTGTGTGAAAATGAGGGCAAACCATGGGAGCACCGGCAGGGACCTCTAGAGCAGCATACCTGAGCCAGGAGCTGAGGAGAGGGATAGGCATTCACAATTGCACTGGCCATTTCCAGGCTGACTCGGTTCAGCTGCTGAATCTGTTTCCTCCAGACCAAGGCAAGGCCCCTGCCAGAGCAGTCCACCTTCACTCCGCCAGCCCAACCACTCTCCAGACAGAAGGAGAAACCAGTTTGGTCCCGAAGCTTCCTGCAAATAGTGCAGTTGGGGAGCAGTGAGTCACTTGCTGCTCTCCTGCTCCTGTGCCCTGAACTACCTGTGCACTGAAAAACCCTCTGCAAACCTCAAAAGAAGTGGACACAATGTCTGACCTATTTTTGCCTGTGACAGTTTGAGTGCTCAGTTGTTCCAAAGCACAGTGTTTGTTGCTGATTTCCTTAAAAACCATGCCCAGTCTATTTCATTAGGAAAGAAGGTACTAGACTGCTCAGATTCTCGTTTGTGTTGACACTCAGTTGTATTGACCAGAGACTGTATGTAGTACAGGGGGAAGTCTGACTCTGGTTCTTCTAACTTGCTGTAGACTTAGACGAGTCAATCTCTTCATGCCTCAGTTCCCTCAATGGGGGACTTGGACTGGATTATCTGAGATTCTTTATTTTCAATTATGACTACGAACATTCTTTGAACTACATAAACTGAAAATCTGTTTTACTAGGGATTATTAAGGAGCTCTGGAAGTGTAGTGCCTAAGGCATTTGAGTGCTACATTATGATCTTATCTATAACAAATCTTGGTAACTTGGCTAAATGGTAACCCACACCAACCTGCAAAACACAAAGAGCTAGTATTTAAAAAGGGACGTGGCTTTGGACTTGAGGGCTTTTCCCAAAAACTGCCAGCATGAGGTCAGCTCCCTCTGCTTCAAGCTTGAGACAATGGGCTGACCACAGAGTTTAGGGGAAAGGGACATTTTTTCTGGCTTCAAGAAGCATCATACTTCCAGTAAGATGGCAGAATAGGCAGACAAGCTATACAGACCCTCTTCAACAAAGAAAAGAGAAACCAATTGACATATACAGAAGATAATCCTGGAGCCCTGAGCTTTGAAAGGAAGGATAGAGAAGTGGATTAGACACCAACTAATAGAAGAACTGAATGAAAACAGTAAGGAGACAAACAGAACTGCAGACTGTCAGCTGTCCTGACAGCACAGACAGCCTGAATATTTCCAAGAGGTGGTAAAACAAACAAACAAACTCACTGCTGACAAGTCAATTTGACTCAGAGCGACCCCTCCTTGGATTTCTGAGGCAGTATCTCTACAGAAATAGATTGCCCAATCTTCCTTCCAAGGAGTGGCTGGTGGGTTTGAACCACCAGCCTTCTGGTTAGCAGTCAAATGCCTAGGCATTACGCTACCAGAGCTCCTAAGTGGTGTTAGGACCTAAGAATTAACCTAAAAATCAGCCCTGCTCACCAAGGGCTGCACGGACTACCGCACAGGTAGCTGACGACTGAAAAGGGAAACAGCAAAGAAGGAGACAGACTGAGCTGTGGACTTTCAGCTGTCCAGAGGGCACAGCCATTTTGAATGTTTACAAGTGGCAGCCATTTTGGATATTTAAAGTGACAGCATTCTTGTTCAGATTCCAGGGACTTAAGAATAGGCTCTGCTTGCCAAAGAGCAGGCACATATGGGAGGCTGATGACTGGAAAGGAGACAGGTGGTGAGTGCATAAGTGCTGTCAGCTAGTGAATAAAGGAGCACAGTTCCCTGCTTACTCTGATATATCCAAACAAAACAAAGAAAATGAAAATCTTGGGCAAATTATTCCAACATACAATCACCAATTAAATATAAATACAAAAATGGCACAATGTCTCAGAGACAACAGACCATTACAGTCTACACAAAGCAGCAAGATAAAGCAGTAGAAACAAGGGACCAGGATACAGACCCAGAACACATCCCTTAGGAAAAAGGAGCATTGGATTCCTCCCTGATAAGGAATTATATTTATGTACCTTCAATGAATTGAGAGACAGACCAAGGAAAAACACTGACAAAATTTTGGAAAACAGAGAAAACTCCAGAATGATTTTGGAAGACAAGAAAAAAATGACAAAATAAATGAAAAATTAGAAATGATAAAAATCTACAGATAGAAATCCAGAAGATTAATATTTAATTCTCAGAAACAGGTAACACATTGCCTGGGCAAAGGAGTAGAATCGAATCAATGGAAGACAGAATTAGTGAGACTGAAGACAAACACCTCAATACTTCTTTGGAAAGGGATCAATCAGAAAAAAGATCAAAACAAAATGAAGAAAACCTAAGGTTCATGTGGGATACCATCAAAAGGAATAATCTACATGTAATTGGAATTCCAGAGCAGGAAGAGACAAATAAAACCACAGAGAAACTTGTTGAAGAATTACTGGAAAAAAATTTCACTGATATGATGAAAGACAAGAATACATCCATTTAAGAAGTCCAATGAACCCCAAAAAGGATAGACCCCAAAAGAAAATCACCAAGACATATCATCATCAAACTCACCAAAACCAAAGACAAAGAATCCTGAAAGCAGCATGGGAAAAAGGAAAAGTTACTTACAAAGGGAAACCCAAGACTAAGGTCTGATTTCTCAGCAGAAACCACGCAGGTGAGAAGGCAATGGGATGGTATATATAAAACCCTGAAAGAAAAATATTTCCAACCAAGAAAACTGTCCCTCAAATATGACGGTGAAATTAGGATATTTCCAGATAAGCAGAAATTAAGGTAATTTGTTAAAACCAGACCAACTAACGAGATGCTAGAGGGAGTCCTTTGGACAGAGAACCAACAACAGCAAACAACAACCAACCATTAACACACATGATGATATAACCCAGAAACCAACCCAGTTATAGAAGTATCCAAAGTAAATAAGCCTACAAGATTGTAAACAGGGAATTAGAGACACCAGTTGGCAAATAAGGACAACTATGAACCAAAAAGAGGGGAAAAACTGTGTCATTATAGAATTTCTATGGTGAGGAAGTCAAGACAATTGCAAGATAAGATAGACTTGGGAAGAACATTATAAATCACAGGGTAACCTCAAAGAAAAATGATAAACCTTCACAGCAAAATAAAAGGACAAGCACAAATATTTAGCAAATACTAAAACAAGCAACAAAGGAAGTGATAACACGATTCATAAACAAAATGAGCTCAGCACAGAAAATTATATGGAACGAAGAAATCAGTAACACCATGAAAAAACATAGCAAAATGACTGCAACCGATTCATACTTGTCGATAATTACACTGAATGTCAATGGATTAAATGCACCACTCAAGAGATGGAGTGTTGCAGACTGAAGATGAAAACATAACTCATCAATATGCTGTCTACAAGAGACAAACCTTAGAGAGAAAGACACAAATAGGCTCAAAATCAAAGGTTGGAAAAAGATATATCAAGCAAATGACAACCATAAAAGAGCAGGAGTGGAAATAATAATTTCTGATAAAACTGACTTTAAGACAAAAAATACCATAAGAGACAAGGAAGGACATTACATAATAATTAGAGAATCGATAGAACAAGAGGAGATAACCATAATAAATATCTATGCACCCAATGAAAGAGCCCCAAAATACATAAATAGATGACTCTGCAGTCATAGTAGGAGACTTTAACACACCACTTTCAAAGATAGAACTGGAAAGAAACTCAACAAAGACATAGAAGAACTAAATACAATTCACCAACTTGACTGTACAGACGTTGACAGAGCACTTCATCCAACAACAACACAATAGACATTCTTTTCCAGTGCATAAGGAACATTTCCCAGGATAGACCATATGTTAGGCCACAAAGCAAGCCTTAATAAATTTAAAAACATCAAAATACTGCAAAGCATCTTCTCAGATCACAATGCTATAAAATTAGCAATCAACAATAGGAAGATCAACGGAAAAAGAGCCAACACATGGAAACTGAATAACACCTTGCTCACAAATGACTGGGTAATAGAAGAAATAAAAAATGAAATTAAAAAATTCCTTGAATCAAACTAGAATGAAAACACAGTATTTCCAAATCTTTGGGACACAGCAAAAGCAGTGATTTATAGCACTAAATGCACTCTGGGACACAGCAAAAACAGTGATTTATAGCAATAAATGCACATATCAAAAAAAAAAAAAAAGAGCCAAAATAAACACCTTAACCTAACATCTCCAAAAATTAGAAAAAGAGCAGCAAAAAAAGCCTACAGTCACCATAAGAAAAGAAATAATAAAGATTTGAGCAGAAATAAATGAAACAGAAAATAGACAATAGAAAAAAATCAACAAGACTAGAAGTTGGTTTTATGAAAAGAATAATAAAATTGACAAACCACTGGCAAATTTAACCAAGGGAAAGGGGGAGAGAATACAAATAACATGAGTAAGAAATGAATTGGGCGATTCACAACAGGATCAACAAATTAAAAGGATAGTATCAGGATATTATGAAGAACTATATTCCAACAAATTTGAAAATTTAGGAGAAATGGACAGATTTCTAGAAACATACTATTTACCTAAACTAACACAGACTTGGGTGGAAAATCTGAACAAACCCATAACAAAAGAACAAATTGTACAAGTTATAAAAAAACTATCAGTGAAAAAAAGCCCTGGCCTAGATGGTTTCACTGGAGAATTCTAACAAACTTTCAGAGAAGAACTGACACCAAGCCTACTCCAACTCTTCCAAAATAAAGAATTCATTTTATGAAGCAAGCATAACCTTGATACCAAAACCAGGCAAAGACATCACTCAAAAGGAAAACTACAGACCAATATCCCTCATGAATATAGATGCAAAATTCTTCAACAAAATCCTAGCCAATAGACTTCAACAACATAGCAAAAAAAAATAATACATTATGACCAACTGGGGTTCGTACCAGGTATGCAAGGATGATTCAGCATTAGAAAAACAATCAACATCATCCGTCGCATAAATAAAGGAAAAGAACCACATGATATTAATGGATGCAGAGAAGACATTTGATAAAATCCAACACCCATTCCTGATAAAAACTGTCATAAAAATAGGAACAGAAGTGACATTCCTCAACATAATAAAGGGCATCTATGCAAAACCAACATCCAACATTATTCTTAATGGAGAGAGACTGAAACGATTCCCCTTCTGAATAGGAACCAGACAAGAATGCCCTCTATCACCACTTCTATTCAACATTGTATTGGAAGTCCTAGCCAGGGCAATAAGGCAAGAAAAGGACATCAAAGGCATCCAAATTGGTAAGGAAGAAGTAAAACTATCCCTATTTGCTGATGATATGATACCAAACTCACTGCCATCAAAGCGATTCCGAGTCATAGCAAATCCTCCTTAGGTTCCCGAGGTGGTATCTCTATGGAAGTAGATTGCCCAGTCTTCCTTCCGAGGAGTGGCTGGTGTGTTTGAACCGCCAGCCTTTTGGTTAGCCTTAAGCATTATGCCACCAGAGCTCCTGTTTTGTGATCCTACACATAGAAAACTCAAGAGACTCAGCACAAAAACTACTGCAACTAATCGAGACATTTTAGCATAGTGGCAGGACAAAAGATCAACATGCAAAAATCAGTTGGAATCCAACTTGGAGGACATTATGCTGAGTGAAATAAGTCAATCACAAAAGGACTAATATTGGATTAGTCCGTTATTGTAAAAGTTAAGGAAAGGTTTATCTATAGAAGGAAATTTTCTTTGTTGGTTAGTAGGGGTGGGAGGGGAGGGGAGGGAAGGCTGTTAGACAGATAGAAATAAGTATTGATTTGGGTGAAGAGAAGGGCAATGTACCAAATGTGAGTGACCAATATGGCACCACTGAGGATGAGAAAGACATAGAGAGGTACACGGGAAGTACAGACAACAAATATGAACCCTTTTGCACACACAGTACTGCGTTGTCAGTGAAGGCAAACCTGGGTATATGGATGGATAGATGGGTGGAAAGGCTAAACAACTAGGTATGTCTATGAAATGGGGAGTGTATCCAAGAACATATATAGGGTTGGCAGACAATGGTCTTATAAAGTTTATGTGAATGATCAGAATTCCCAGGTATATAGTAGAGCTGACAAGGGGCAAGGTTGTGGTCACTGCTTGGTCATAGCCAGCTACCCAGAGGGACCAAGAGTTGAACCTGCAGGCTTGGGACCATAGTC